GTTCTCTATAATATTAACAAAATAGATTTTTACAGTAAGCAAAAGCAACATCTATTACAAAATATTACTAATTTAAATCATGGAGACTGATGAAACAATGGTCTCTTTTGATGTCACATCACTCTTTATGTGCATTCCTGTTGATGATGCAGTAGAGGTGGTCAGTTTAAGATTAAAATCAGACACCACTCTGAGCAGCAGGACCACGCTTTCCACAAAACAACTGTGTCAACTCTTGAAACTGTGCCTGCAGTCAACCTACTTCACATATGGGGAACAATATTATAGGCAGAAACATGGGTGTGCTATGGGGTCTCCAGTTTCTCCTATTGCTGCCAACCTGTACATGGAGGAGGTAGAAAAGAGAGCCTTGACGTCCTTTTCAGGGACACCACCAAGTCACTGGTTCAGGTATGTTGACGACACCTGGGTTAAAATTAAATCTCAGGAAGTCCAACATTTTACTGACCACATCAACTCTGAGCATAAATACATCAAGTTCACACAAGAAGATGTAAAAAATGTCAGGTTGGCTTTCTTGGACTGTGAGGTCTCAGTCTCTGATAGAGTACATTTGCAAACCGAGGTGTACCGCAAACCCACCCACACAGACCAGTATTTGCAGTTTGACTCCCATCACCCTTTGGAGCACAAGTTAGGAGTCATCAGGACTCTGTACCACAGAGCAGACAGCGTCCCCACTAACTCAGGAGCCAAGCAGAAGGAGAAATCCTACACAAGACAGGCTCTAGAGCAATGTGGATATCCTAACTGGGCCTTCCTGAAAGCAGAGAAGAAACCCAAACAGGACTCCAGTCCCCCGGCACAAACAGAGTAATATTGTGTATGCTGTTCAGTGTCAGGAGAGCTGTGATCAGTCTTACATCGGGGAAACTAAACAGCCACTGGCGAAAAGGATGGCCCAGCACAGAAGATCAACATCATCAGGCCAGGATTCTGCAGTCTGCACTCATCTCCAGGCCAGCGGTCACTCATTCAGGAATGAAGATGTGCACATCCTGGACAGAGAGGAACGATGGTTTGAGCGAGGAGTAAAGGAGGCCATCTTTGTGAAAAGAAACCGTCCATCATTAAACAGGGGTGGAGGCCTCCGGGTTCAACAGTTCCCCTCTTACAATGCTGTTATTGCTAGTATCACTCAACCCTCTGTGAAGAGTAAACAGCCATCAGTGTGCTAATGATCCATTGTTAGGCTGATGGTCCTTCTTGAGCATGTGAGCAGCTGGTGTTGGTTGTCAGCAGCAAAACTGGTTGATCCACTCTGAGAAGGTGCTATTTAAGACTGAGCTGAATACAGCACCTCAGACTGAGGAAGTCTCTCAGATGAGAGACGAAACGTTTCTACATTTTTTTTTGCTTTGTTTTGCTTTTTTTGTTTGTTTTGTTTTCTTGTTTTTTGAATGTCCAGAGGACCAGATTGAACTTTTTTTGGATTTTTCTACCTGGATTATTGAGCATGTATCAGGATGTTACTAATTTAGGCAAAACGAAAAGAAAATCTCTTTAAGCCACATGATGAAATGTTATAGGATGTGTAGAAAACATCAGTTGGAAATCCTCAAGCAGATTTCAGATTACTGATGTGGATTTATGTCCCTCCTTTTACACCCTGTGCCCAGATAGGAAGAGGACTTTGCTGTGAAACTATTGCAGAAACATGGATGAAAAATCAATTAGTTCTGTTGTTCCATGACAAAAATCTGCTGTTGAATATCAGCAAAATTAGGTGCTGAAGGTGGAATGTAGAAGAAATGGAACCTCGTTTACATATGTAGAGCTGATGTTTTGTCCATTGGAGATAAATATGAAAAACCACCTGTCGTGATCATCCTACGTCCAAAATGTTATTGTATTAAAAATAATATATTTTTTAACAAAGCAAAGCCCTAAGATATGTCTGGGTATACTTTATTTTTAGAATCAATAAAGAGCAACCAATCGAAGGCGCTACAGACTGGTATGGGATGTGCTATATGTACAAATCAAGCATTGTACCATCCCCTTTTCCTACATTTTTAACACAATCGTTTATTCAACTGGAGTTTTTCAAAATAGCAAAATTAAACTTGTGCAATTTGAAACTGACAATTACATTTTAGTTTGAGTTGTATTCTCAAACTCAGAACATTTGATTACATGTAGATTGTTGCAGATTTTATGTTTCTGCAGCATAAATTGATCGACTCTTCTAAGAAGACATTTCCTTTCAGCACAACGAGTTCTTCACAAACCCCAGAATGTTAATAAACATCTAAACTGGAACGGCACAGCTACAAAGTTACACTAAAATACACTTAAGCTTGTACACAAAGAGCGTTGTATTATTTACTGCATCAAGTTATGTCTGTAAATTGTGAATGAACAAAACTCAAGTGTAAGGAATGTTTAAATATTTTGTTTCTGTTAAATTAATTGTTTAATGATTTTATGTGCTTAGAATGGCTGCTCATTCCCTGCGACTGTTTTTTAGGAAAGAGTTTCAGAACTGTCAAAAAATCAATGGTCTGTATACAACTACGATGAGTAAAGTAATGGGTTGTTTTTGAACTTTTCTCTTTTTTGAAAAAAAAAATCTTTGAATATAAACATTTCTTACTGTTCGTGTTTGTACTTGTTTCAGCCTTTGCATTACAAAGCATCTCTTTCAGCACTTTGTTGCAAAGCACCACACTGGCAGCAGCTTTACCCTCCTGCTGTTTTAGAAGTGCCAAAGCATTCACATACAGAAGATGCTAGTTGTACATCAGTATTTTGCTACAAAACAATCAGTTTTCTGTAACACACATACATTTATTTATTCATGAAAATAAGTCATAATAAATCTCGAAGATCTACAGTGGGGAGAACAAGTATTTGATAGACTGTTGATTTTTCAGGTTTTCCCACTTACAAAGCTTGTAGATGACTGTAATTTTTATCATAGGTACTCTTCAACTGTGAGTGATGGAATATAAAACAAAAATCCAGAAAAATACAATGTATGATTTTTAAATAATTAATTTCCATTTTATTGTGTGAAATATTTGATCATCTATCAACCAGTATGAATTTTGGCTCTCACAGACATGTTAGTTCTTCTTTAAGAAGCCCTCCTGTTCTCCACTCATTACCTGTATTAACTGCACCTGTTTGGACTCGTGACCTGTATAAAAGACACCTGTCCACACACTCAATCAATCAATCAGACTCCAGCATCTCCACAATGCCCAAGACCAGAGAGCTGTGTAAGGACATCAGGGATAAAATTGTAGCCCTGCACAAGGCTGGGATGGGCTACAGGACAATAGGCAAGCAGCTTGGTGAGAAGGCAACAACAGTTGGTGCAATTATTAGAAAATGGAAGAAATACAAAATAACGGAAAATCTCCCTCGGTCTGGGGCGCCATGCAAGATCTCACCTCGTGGAGCATCATTGATCTTGAGGAAGGTGAGGAATGAGCCCAGAACTACACGGCAGGACCTGGTCAATGACCTGAATAGAGCTGGGACCACAGTCTCAAAGAAAACAATCAGTAACACTCTACGCCGTCAAGGATTAAAATCCTGCAGTGCACGCAAGGTGCCCTTCCTCAAGCCAACGCATGTCAAAGCCCGTCTGAAGTTTGCAAATGACCATCTGAATGATCCAGCGGAGGAATGGGAGAAGGTCATGTGGTCTGATGAGACAAAAATAGAACTTTTTGGTTTAAACTCCACTCGTCACGTTTGGAGGAAGAAGAATGATGAGTACAACCCCAAGAACACCATCCCAACCGTGAAGCATGGCGGTGGAAACATCATTCTTTGGGGATGCTTTTCTGCAAAGGGGACAGGACGACTGCACCATATTGTGGGAAGGATGGATGGGGCCATGTATCGTGAGATTTTGGCCAACAACCTCCTTCCCTCAGTAAGAGCACTGAAGATGGGTCGTGGCTGGGTCTTCCAGCATGATAACGACCCAAAACACACAGCCAGGGCAACTAAAGAGTGGCTCCGTAGGAAACATCTTAAGGTCCTGGAGTGGCCTAGCCAGTCTCCAGACCTGAATCCCATAGAAAATCTTTGGAGGGAGCTTAAAGTCCGTGTGGCCCAGCGACAGCCCCGAAACCTGAAGGCTCTGGAGGAGATCTGTATGGAGGAGTGGGCCAAAATCCCTGCTGCAGTGTGTGCAAACCTGGTCAAGAACTACAGGAAACGTCTGATCTCTGTAATTGCAAACAAAGGTTTCTGTACCAAATATTAAGTTTCATTTTTCTGGTGTATCAAATACTTATTTCACACAATAAAATGGAAATTAATTATTTAAAAATCATACATTGTATTTTTCTGGATTTTTGTTTTATATTCCATCACTCACAGTTGAAGAGTACCTATGATAAACATTACAGTCATCTACAAGCTTTGCAAGTGGGAAAACCTGAAAAATCAACAGTCTATCAAATACTTGTTCTCCCCACTGTATGTTAACCCTAGACTTGCTTTACTTATCTCAGTCTTTGTTCTTTATTAAAAGCACTTTGTTAACAGCTGCTGTTTAAAATGTGCTTTATAAATAAAATTAACTTGACTTATTTCTATAGTAGATAAAGGGAAATAATGTACTTATCTCTATAGAGTGTCAGGCACAAAAAGAGGACAACCAATTTTAAGAAAAGCTATGCATACAATTCACTTTGTAACATAAAATTTAGCTTTAACATTACATAAAAATAAAACTATTTTCATAAAATTGCAATAATATAAACTTGGGTAAGAGTATGATCCTTGCAACATGTGAATAAATGTTGAAATGCCTTGATGATCCTTAGATAAACATACTGCATACACATTTATAGAGTTTTTTTTTTTTTACCTTGCAGATATTTTTAAACAACACTATAAATTAAAACATTTCACTTTAACAAGATATAAATGCTGAATAGCATATGTCTCAAAAATCCCTTTTTGATGCAGCAAATGTATTTAACATGATCTTAAAATGTCTTGATTCAGGTGGTGTGTGCTTCTCACAGTCAGTCAAGATTCCACGAGAGCCAAAACAGGGAGAGTTCGACAAGATCATCCGGAGACTGGGAGAAAATCCAAACGCAAGAGTTGTCATCCTTTTCGCAAATGAAGATGATATCAGGTAGAGCAACAGCTAAATAATGTAATTCTTCTCTGAAGACAAGAAAACCTTGACGAAACAGATTCCTGGAAATGCAGTCGTGTTGTTTTTTTCTCACCTTGTTACTGATTGCCAACCAAAATCAAAGCAGAGCTGGTTGGAATGCTGACCTTATCCATGACAACATCTGTTTCCTCACCTTTGCAGGCGGTTACTCGATGCAGCAAAAAAGGCCAACCAGACCGGTCATTTCATCTGGGTGGGATCGGACAGCTGGGGCTCAAAGATTGCTCCTGTTGTGCAGCAGGAGGAGGTGGCAGAGGGAGCAGTCACCATCTTGCCCAAGCGGCAGACCATTAAAGGTACAGAGATGAGCATTGTACAAACATCAGGTGTCCTTGTCCATTTTTTTAGACACTGTTTCATTTGAGCCAAGGCTGCTTTTTGTTCTTGCAAATTTAAAGAGACAAGATGCTTTGAATTGCTTTACATCTTTCATTGGATTATCAAATTTGCACAATAATGAAAATTATTCAAACAAAAACTGAAAAAATTAATCACAAGATACTCTGTGCTGAGTGCAGACAGATTGTGACATGCTCACACTTTTAGTCAAGGTGACATCATACCTGTGGCTCACAGATGACACTGCTCACACCCGCTGTATATAAGTGACAGTAAATTTATTGATGTATTTAGGGTTTGATCGTTACTTCATCAGTCGAACGCTGGAAAACAACAGAAGGAATATCTGGTTTGCGGAGTTCTGGGAGAACAACTTCAACTGCAAACTCAGCCGACATGCTGTGAAGAAAGGCTCCGGGCTCAAAAAGTGCACAAGTAAGATACTTTTTCTTGAAAAAAAAAAAAATCTGTGCATTTTCTTTAAACCAACTTGTAAATATTCTCTTTGTGCAGAGTGCTGACACATTTGGCTCATGGTGGAAGTGTTTTGACAGAATTAACTCAACTCTAAAAAGGGCAAGAGCTTTATGTTCAGTGCTCAAACTTGCAGTTCATCTTGTGGCTCATTTTATTGCTGTTCTGTCTTTTTGCTGAGTCATGTTTGTTTATCTGTGTCACTATAACAAGTGAATGGCTGCATAGTTAAAGAATTCGGCTCTGTGCCATGATTTTATTTTTTATTTTTTCTATAGCATTACAGCTACTATGGGTGGAAAAATACATCACATAATGTAAACATCTATTAGGCATGTGAACATACAGCCATGATAAAAAAAGGAAGTGACCATTTTATGATTTATTATGGTTTATTATATTTTAAATATATAATATTGAAAGTAAATCATTAAATACTTACAATGTCTAAAAATTTAAAAATTGCAATTTCAAAAAGTAATACTAGAAGATAAATGATACACATTCATTGTTCGGTCCAAGAAGACTAATACAAATTTAAATCATTTGTGTATAAAAACTCTATTATAAACTATTTCCTCTACAGGAATTAGGAGCCTATGTGTTTGTGAATAAGGTGTTTCTGAAAAAACTCACTGAGTGTCAATAAGTTTGTCTATAAGAGCCAAAGGTTTTGAACGTTGCTGGTCTGGTGCATTCATGGGTTTACCCAATGCCAAGCAGAAAAGACATCAGCAATAATCTAAGAAGACAATGTGGGGAGGGGCTTGGTGCCATTTCTAAAGATATAAATTCCATTTTATGGTCTATACTAAAAAAAAAAGTGCTGTTCACAATGGGAAACATTGAACTCAAGAGAGGACCCACCAGCTTGTTTACGCCACAGTCAAACTGTGTTATGTTCAGAAAATTACCAACAAAACAAAGAGCCATGTCTGAAGTTCTTCAGCCACAGCTAACGTGTTATAATATAAAGTTTATGACAGTGAAATCAGAGAAGTGGCTGTTTTGATGGAGACACATTCATCTTTTTTATAGGAATAACAAAGCTCACATTTGCAGAAGCAAAACACAAGACAGAAATGCTTTTGCATTATGTATAGCATCATGTTAGCAAAACATTTACATGCAGAAGGATATATCACACCTCAACATTTCACAACTGCCAAGAACAGTGGTGGTAGGATCATGATTTGGGCTCAGTTTGGACTTACAGGACTGAGAAGTTTAGCTCAATGATTTGATGATGTCCTGCTCTGTATATACCATACTTGAGTCAAATGTGAGGCCATATGTCCAATGTCTGAAGCTTGGCCAAGACTGGGTCATGAAACAGGACAATGAACCAAAGCACAGCAGGAAATTCCCACTAGAACTACAGAAAACAAAGATTTTAACACAAGACCAAAATATAAGAGCTGCTGAAGAGATCTCAAAGTCTAAGCAGCCAAAAGATGAAAATAAATAAATAAATACAAATGTGTGCATGCACCTATTGAGAAGTATGTGTATTTATTTCATAAGTGGGGAGAACAATAAATAAATAAATTCAGGTTGTTCTGGGTTACACTTTGTGGAGATCTGGCAGGCAGCCATGTACAATGAAGTGAGGTGTTGTAATAGAAAATAACAGGAGCAGCTGTTTTGACCTGTTTTATTTATTTATTTATTTTGGCTCTAGTGTGTTCTGAGAAAAAAATCTCATGACTGTTAACCTAAAATCTTCATGGCAAGTCATTGAATAAACAGAGTCAGCTGGCTCAACTTACTGTATCACGATCCTGCACTGCACACTGCGTTCTTTGAAATGCTTTAACAGAACTTCCTGGTTGAAATAATGGCTGAGAGTTCGGTGAAACGAGTCATTGTTGCTGTAAAATTAAAAAAGGATCAGAAAAGGACAATTCAGTGCAGTTCTACAATTGCACCGCTCGGGGTGGCTGCATGTTGGAGTAGCGCTGTTACTTTCATTCTGAGATTTTGCTTTTGGAAACTTGAATTCTTCTTTTTCTGGATGTAAATCACTTTTTTTTTTACAATTATTTCTTCTGGTATCGGATGCTGTACACCTGGAAGGATTTTTACTGAAACTTTTTTACTTTTGAACATTTGTTATGATGTGTAACCATAACAACAAGGTGTTTTTTTTTTGGTTTGGTTGGTGTTTTTTTTGCAACCGGGAGCAGCTGATTAATATCTCAAAAGCTCAAATAATATCTCAGCGACAGCCACAAATCTCAAGTGAGTTGAAAGGGAGGTGCTGTAGATGCATTCCCGTCTCCCTGCCAGCTGTGATCGAGTGCCTTACCACTGAGATCCTGGAACTAGCAGGAAACACGGCTTGTGACAGCAGAAGGACCATATCATCTCCGGCACCTGCAGCTGGCTGTCTGCAGCAAGGAGGAGCTCAGCAGACTGCCGGGAGGAGTGGAGTGGCCATTACTTCAGGAGTCCTGCCTGGCATTTGGGTTGTCCTGCAGCCTGTGGGAACCAAGAGGCAAGCCGAGTCTGGGTGGACGGATCGGACAGCATCTGGGGCCTTTGGATTTTCTGTGGAACGGACCTTTACAAGAGATCCTTCCTGCCTACAGCCATTAGCATCGATCACATGTATTAATTTAATGAGGATAATGAGTTGCAACAGCATTTAATTTCCCTTTTGAATTAATAAAGTATTTTTTAATTGAACTTGATTGAATTCTGTAAAGCTTAAGGTAAATGTAGGTGATTATCATCACTCGCAAGATAGCCTTATTGCTAAAATATCCATCTGTACACTCTAACGGGACTACAAGCTCTAAAAAATAGTAATTATGTTTCTTTTTTTTTCTTTTTTCAAGTATGGAAATGAAAATATACTCACAGTATGATTAGGCCTGCAAGAAAACATTTTACCTGCATGTATTTGAACAATGTGCTGACTTGAGCTGCTCAGTTCAACATATCAGCGTCAACATGATGTCACAGAATGAATTATAGCGTGTGAGACCAATTATCTAATTTTGTCTGCAAATCACAATAGGTAAACTTGGTTTGCATTGTTATGTGGAAAGCTGTATGAAAATATAAAAACAACATACTGTGACATACAATTTACTCTTTAAAACAGGTCCTTGTGTAATGAACAGTATGCACTTTTATTTATTTATTAACCTTTATTTAACCAGGCAAATCCTATTGAGATCACAGATCTTTTATGCAGTTGAAGTCTGAGCCTGAAGGCATCCTAACATGCATATTTTTGGCCTGAGGGAGGAAGCCAGAGTACTCAGAGAAAAAAACAAAACAAAACAAAAAAAACCCACTAAAAAAAAACAACCTGCAAACTCCACATAGAACAAACCCAGATCCAAACCAGTGATAGAACCAAGGACATTTTTATTGTGAGGCAACAGCTCTACAGTGACTGGTCTGAATGACTACCGGCAAGTAGCCCTCACCCCGATAGTCGCTAAATGCTTTGAAAGACTGGTCATGACCTATCAAAACAACCATCAACATTAGCAAGGACCCTCACCAGTATGCACATCACGAGAATTGATCAACAGAGGACGTCATCTCCTCTGTGGTCTACACTGCTTTCACCCACCTGGAGCAGAAGGACTCCTATGTCCATATACTCTTTGTGGACTTCATGTCTGCCTTCAATACCATGAAACCCCAAACCCTGATGGACAAACTACTCACACTAGGACTAAGCCCCTCCATTTGCAACTGGGTCCTAGACTTCTTAACAAACATACCACAGTCTGTGAGGATCCACAACGTCTCCTCCTCTACCATAACCCTCAGCACTGGTTCCCCTCAGGGCTGTGTGCTGAGCCTTCTCCTGTTCACTCTGCTCACGTATGACTGTGCACCTACCCATCCAGGTTGTCATATTGTAAAGTTTGCAGATGATACATGGTGGTGGGATGCATCACAAACAACAATGAGTCCATCTATAGGCAGGAGGTGGAACACCTGGAGAGCTGGTGCAGGAAGAACAACCTTCACACCAATGTGAAGAAGACAAAGGATATGGCCGTGGACTTAGACAGAACAAACACACCTACCCCAACACCCCACCTGCACATAGGAGGATATGTTGTAGAAGTGGTCTCCAGCTACAAATACTTGGGTGTACACCTGAATGACAACCTCAGCTGGGGCAACAACACCTGATCAAGAAAGCTCATCAGACGGCTGAGACGAGCTGGTCTGGGAAGCTCAGTCCTCATCTCCTTCTACACGTGTGCAGTTGAGAGCATCCTGTGCTCCAGCATCAACATGTATTTTTAGTTAACGTTTTTCTTTGTTCATATCTTAGATCTTACTAATGTTTTTATTTTTTTACATTTTATACTTTTGTTGGATGTAATTGGGACACTGTGTACACAATTTCGTTCCACCTCATGTACCACATGTGATGCGAATGACAATAAAGAACCTTGAATCCTTTGTAGTGGACTAGGCCTCCGACCAAAACCTGCCTCTGAGGACCTTCAGGGGAGGAACTGTTATTTCATTGATTTGAATCCAGAAATACAAATTAGCTCATCCAGAGACTTTCTAATTGTATCCTGAACTAATCAATTAAAAGAACACTTTCTTTTTTTATATTATCATTACTATTTTACAATATCTTGATAATCAAAAGTGTGTTTAGTTCATACCATTTTTAAATGTTGAAGTGAACCACTCATTTTAATTCAACTGTGAAACAGTATTAATGATTTTTTTAATCCTCATTCAAATTAGAAATTAAGTTAAATGTCTATTTTACAGGCAGCACGGTGGCACAACTGGTAGAGCTGCTGCCTCTCAGTGAGCAGGTATTTGGTTCAAACCCCGGTCCAGGGGCCTTATGGGTGGAGTTTGCATGTTCTCTCCGTGCATGCGTGGGTTTTCTCCGGGTACTCCGGTTTCCTCCCACAGACCAAAAACATGCATGTTAGGCTGATTGGTAACTCTAA